ATTTTATTAATGGCAATAGTACAGTTTTCAATACTTGAAATCAACTTCACTCTAAACTGTCATAGGAGTGGTATTCGCTGAAAAATCCTCTCTATACGGTATAAGAGCTAGGTTGCATACTCGATCAACGTTTCTTGGTGTCACTAAGAAAACAGGTTACTCTGACCGCGCTGGTGGGCTAGGCTGAACAATTTATATTGACAAATTGACTTGCTTTTAGTTCCCATGTTCTGTAAAAGTTTTCCTCAAACGACTTTAGCCCAAGAAACAATGCCAGTCTTTTAGGATATGTCAAAGTTGTGTTGACATATAGTGGTAACTGTTATCAAAGATATATCCTTGTTTTCTTTTATTTATTCCGTTGTACATCAGCTACAATAAATACCCTCTGCTTAGTCCACTTGCAATAAGTTCCATAACTATCTAGTTTATTTCATTAACTATCCATGATTTTGGTGCCTTTTCTGAAAACCAATTGTGTTGTGGTGGACTGGATGTAAGACTGATACTTTCTCAATCTGAATGGATGGCAATAACTAGGGCCGTGTTTCCAAGATTGAAATTAAAGATTAATATTGCCTAATGTTCAACAAACTGGGCATGGCCTGATAGTGCAAAGCTAGGTTTTAAGTTATTTTGAGGCCAGCTTAGTTTTTTTCAATTTTTATTTGTGATCGCATCACATTCTGCGTCGGGCAAATATGTGCATGTTCTTAACTGCATTTAAATTGATTTTATTAGTAGTCAAGCTTCTGCCTTGCACGATTTAGGTAATTTCTGTGTGGCCTCTCCCACAAACCTAATTTTTGTTAGCAAATTGTGTCATTCACCTGTTACATCATGTCATTTATCCCTTTGAGGAAGTTCCAGTTAGGTACATCAGTTATATTTTTAACTGAATCTGTTTTATATTGAAGTGTACATGATCTGTTAATAAAGAAGATATTCTTTTTTTCTAATATTTATATTGGTATCCATTTTTCCTTGTTTCCTTCTGGGTTTTAGTTTTGATTTTTAAAAATTAGAAAGATAATTTAGAAAAGTTATCTAAAACTAGAACATTTATATATTTTTCTTTCAAAATAAAATATTGAAACTATACAGGTTGCATGAGCTGAAAAATTGTGAGACAATGTCAGGTATGACTCTTTACATTATGTACAAACTTTGCAACACTTGTGCAGTAGTACAGGAAAACCCAAAAATTTCTTCAATTTCAATGTAAAATTTCTTATAATTATTGATGTTGACTGACAAATACAATGAAAGTTGTTAACAGCAGGAAAAATGATCCAGTTAGTGAAGTGGATCCACTTGTCCCAGAGCACTCAGCTGGTTTTGGTGAGGAGATGTATTTGCAGAGAACTCCCTTAAAGTTGGTTTGAGCTTCTTTAAAATCATTTTCATCATATTTCTGCAACAAAATTACAATTTGAATAATAATTAAGCCTAATGTTCAATAAAATGAGCCAAAATCATCATAGAAAGTACTTACGTTGTTGAAAACAACTGTAGGCACACTCTTGAGAGGAGGCTGCAACATTTCTGTTTTATTTCCCATATCTGCCAGGAGGTCATCTGCCATGGTGCTGTTAGCGCACTGAATTATTTCGTTCTTTTCTCCAATGTTGAACTGATCGGCGCACTGAAATTGGAGAGTGATTAGTTTGAGGGGAATGAGGTGGAAGATAATATGTAGCACATTTTGTAGTGTACTTATGAGTGGTTTAAAGTACCTTTTCAGCAGGGAATACAATTTTCCTGTCTTCTAGCATGGACTTCATTAGGCAGTTAAGGTATGTAAGGCGTTCATTTTTGCTGGCCATTTTTTTCAGTGCACAAGCATGAACTTTATTGCCATAGCATTCTCTCTCTCCATGATGACATGTAAAATTCCATCCAGTTGATGTCTTCTCATGCTGAAATGAAAGGCAAACAATAAGTTTGGGAAATGCAGGTACCATTTTATATTGCAGTAACATGTGATGCGCATACCTTTGACTTGCCATAGGGAATCAACTGAAGATCAACATTCATAGACAAGTTGGCAATTTCCATTGTGGGAAACAGCTGGTTGATGTAGAACTTGATGCTGTCAGGGCACAGCGATTCATAGTAGACAGTGACAGTCACTGGGTTGGCGGCCTGCAACAATCACAACATTGACATCAGCAACGTTCCTTGGCTCAGCTTATGGCATAGACGCTCACCCGAAAAATGGTCACTAACAGTTCTAAGACCGATCCCTACCGACCCATATTCCGAGGTTGGAACCATCTCCATCTAGATCGGATCAGATCCGGACATCGCTCAGGAGTTTAAGACTGAGACTTCTATGGGGAAGCTCCTGCCCCACATTCGTTGTCACAGAAAGGAAGAGCAGTTGAGAAAACAACCTACAGCATGAAGCTAGCTGCATGCTGTTGCTCAAGGTTCGGCTCGGCAAGGGGCCCCTCCACTCTTGCCCTCCCTTTTCCTCCCCTTCCCTTCACCCGGAGTCAAGGCGAGCGGTGCTTGGTGCAAATGAAAAGTACCGGCATGTCAGACAGCGGAACGAAGCTGAGACTGCGTCGTAGTCAGAAGCTGGTCGCAGGAATTTTTAACGGTGAACTCAACTCGAATTTCCAGCTGATGTCAACACTACCCCAACCGTATAGATTGCGTGTGCAATGTCGGCTGGTTGACATTTTGACTCGTCCCCTA